CAGGAGGCTGTGTACCCCAGGGATGACTGGTCTGACAATTAAAGACAAGTGTATTGAAGGCACTGAGAATGTCAGCTTTTTTCTTATCATGTGAACACATTCCCCACCACATCCAGGAAAGGATGGAGATTCTACTTAGCCATCCTCGTACTGTTAATGTATTTGTAAAAACATTTTTTGTCGTCTTTTACTACAGTGCCCAAGTTGACCTCGTGCTAGGCTTTAACCTTTCTAATTTTCTCCTGCATATCCTAGGAACTTCCTTGTGCTCTCCTCGAGTTGCCTGTTCCTCTTTCCATAGGAGATAAACTCTCTTCTTCTCCTGGAGTCTCAGCAAAAGCTCCCTGTTCAGCCGTTCCAGCCTTCCTTTCTGGTTCACCTAACAGCACATGTGGACAGCCTGCTCCTGCTCCTTTGAAATTTCCTTCTTGAGGAAGTGTCCAGCCTTCCTGGACCCCTTTGCTCTGACCCTCCCTACCAGTGTACTGAACAATTCCAAGTCTGCCCTCCAGAAGCCCAAGTAGCAGTTTTGCTCCCTTCTGACTTCACCAAGAATTGAGAGTTCTATCATTTTGTGGTTGCTCTGCTCTAGACAGCTCCTAACGACCACATCTACTGTCAGTCCTCTGTTTGGGAACAGCAGGTGTAGAGGGCACCCCCCCTTGTAGGCTCTCTTACCAGCTGTGTCAGTAGGTTAGCTTCCACACACTCAAAGAACTTGCCTGACTGCTTCCTCTACGCTGTATTTCCAGCATGTATCAGGGAAGCTGGAAGTTCTCTATGAGAACAAGGGCTGGCAAATGCATGACTTCTGCCAATTGTTCATAGAATGCCTTGTCTGTCTCTTCATCCTGGTTAGGTAGTCTATAATAGACTCCCACCAGGATGTCAGAGTTGCCAGCCTTTCTCCAATCCTTACCCAGAGGGACTTGACCTTATAATTCCCAGCCTCAAGCTCTACAATACTGAAACACTCTCTAAGGTAGCAAACCAAGCCATTGCCTTTCCTTCCTTCCCTATCCCTCGTGAAGAGCTTGTAGCCATCCACTGCAGCACTCACGGGAGTGGTCTTACCATGTTTCAGTAATGACAATTAAGTCATAGTTTGCCTGCCACACAACAGTTTCCAAGTTCTCCTGCTTATTGCCCATGCTGCATGCAGTGGTGTAGATATGCTTCAGCTGAGCAGCCAGCCTCACCCCCCAACCCTGGCATTCTTCCCCTACGCTCATCTCTAGCAAACCTGGCCTTATTCCCTTCCCCCTTCGTATCTAATTTAAAGCTCTCTCAAGGAGCCCTGCCAGCTCCTGGGCTAGGAGATCTTTTCCCCTTTGAGACAGATGGGACCCATCTGCAGCCATAAGGACAGGTGCCAAGAAAACTGCTCCATGGTTGAAAAAGCCAAAATTCCTGTGATGGCACCAGCCTCATAGTCATGCATTTATCAGCTGAGTTTTCCCGGTCCATTCAGTATCCCTCCCTGGCACTGAAGGGATAGAGGAAAACACCATCTCTGTTCTGCTCTGTCAGCTAACTGCCCCAATCCTGCTGAAGTCCCTTTTGATAGCGCTCGTGCTTCTTCAGCAGCTTCACTGCTGCCAGACTGAACTATCAGCAAAGGATAACAATCATAGGGGTGAATCAGGCCAGGAAGTTTTCACTTAACTGCAAATACAAGAGTCCAATTTTCAGGATGCATCTCTGAAAACAACAGCACACATGTCCAAACTGCATTCTTATTAAAGAAACATACTACATGTGTTTAAGGAAATCATTTGCAGAACCACTGATTAAAAATATTCCAACACTTTAAATATGCTCAAATAGGGGAGGAATACTGATGTAAGAGAGTTAACCACCACATTCGTACAGCAAAAGTTTAAATTTCTGCAAGGTAAGAATTACCACTTTGCTTGCTCATGTGAATACTCAAGCTCGTAAAGTAAAGGCAGAGAGAAGCCTATTTGCTCCAGGACTTTCACTTGCTGCTTTTACAAGTGAAGAATGAAGCCTTTACTAGAGTACTTTCCTCCAGACATTGCTCTCAAAGCGCACGCAGGGTACCAAATTTGTAATTTAAATGCATACATTTTTACCTTCCTGTATTATCATTTAACATTTGTTTGGTTCAACTCAAATAGTTTTAATGACAAACATTAAGTAAAGGTACTACTATCATATACAAAATGAAAAAGCAGCAGAAATAAGGTTTCAGGGCAACAGTTCTACTTCGCAAAGGAATCCGAACTTCAGCAGGACTGAAGCAAAGCATGTGCTTTTCCAGACTGAGACACTTCACAATATCTCTGCAGGGAAATTTTACTGAATGAGGTGAGTGCCCTGGAAGTCACTAAGAAGCTGAAGTTACTGTACACCTTCTTTGCTACAGTCTTCACTGCTAAGACTCAGGCAGAAACTGGAGGTAAGAGAGAGAGCTTGGAGAAAGGAAGACTTTCCCTTGTTCAAGGAAGATCTGGTCAGAGATCATCCTCAACACATACAAATCCATGGGCCCCAATGGGATTCACTCACAACTACTGAGGGAGCTGGCAGAGGTGACTGCCAAACCACCTTCTATCACCTGCATAGATCCTAACCTCCTATAGAACATATAAAAGAACATGCATGAAAAGTCATGGAGAAAGGAAAGATTCCCAAGGACTGGAGGAAAGCGAGAATCACTCCAGTGTTCAGAAAGGACAAGAAGGACGAGCAGGGAAATCCCAGGCCTATCAGTCTCACCTCTGTATCATGGAAAGTGATGGAGCAACTTATTCTGGATGTCATCTCCAAGCAAGTAGAAAAAAAGGTTACCAGCAGTAATCAACAAGGACTCAGCAAGGGGAAATCATGCTCAACCAACCTGGTAGTTTTCTATGATGTCAAAACCAGCAAGGTAGATGAGGGCAAAGCAGTGGATGTTTAGTACCTTGATTTCAGTAAGGTTTTTGACATTGTCTCCCATAACTTTCTCATAACTAAGCTTAAGGAATGTAGGACAGCTGAGTGGACAGTGAGGTGGATTGAGAACCATCTGACAGACATAGCAGAAAGTGTCGTAATTAGTTGTAGACTAGTTGAGGCATGTAACTAGCAGTTTTCCCCAAGGGTCAGTACTAGGTTCCACTTCATTTAAAATCTTCATCAATTACCTGAATGAAGGAACAGGGCATACCCTTAGCAAGTTTGCTGATGGTGCAAAACTGGGAGAAATGGCCGACAACAGAAGCCTGTGCATCTATTTAGCAAGACCTGGACAGACTGGAGAGTTGAGCAGAGAGGAAGTTTATGAGGTTCAACAAGGGCAAATGCAGAGTCACCTTGGGAGGGATAATACATCTACACAGGTTCTACAGGAGGTAAGGATCTGTACAGGTTAGGGACTGGAAAGCAGCTCGCTCTGTTGAGAAGGATTTGCATGTCCTGGTGAACAGTAAGTTGACCACAAGCTTAGCAGCGTGCCCTTGTGGCCACAGTATCCTGGGGTACATTAAGAGTGTGGCCAGCAGGTCGAGGGACATTATCCATCCCCTCTACTCTGCCTGGTGAGGAGTATATCTGGAGTACTCTGTCCAGTTCTGGGCTCCTCAGTTCAAGAAAGACAGGGAACTGCTGGAAAGAGTCCAGCAGAAGGTCACAAAGATGAATAGGGGCCTTGAGCACCTCCCTTATGAGGAAAGGCTTGGGACTGTCCAGCCTGGAGAAGACTGAGTGGGAATCTCATCAACGCCTATTAAAATCTAAAGCACAGGAGTCAAATGAATGGGGTCAAACTGTTTTCAGTGGTGCCAAGTGACAGGACAAGGTACAACGGGCACAAACTGGTACGTAGAAAGTTCCATCTGAACATGAGAAACAACTTCTAAACTGTGGTGACAGAGCACTGCCCACAAAGGCTGTGGAGTGTCCTTCTCAGGAGATATTCAAAACCCACCTGGATTCTTTTCTGTGTGACCTGCTGTAGGGAACCTGATTTAGCAAGGGGGTTGGACTAGATGATTTCCAGAGGTCTCTTCCAACTCCTACAATTGTGATTTTGTGAAAGAAAGTTTTTCCTTTGGAAAAAGGCTGTACAATGCTTTGCAGCTAATGCAAGCTATGCATACTGCTCAAGTGCATGCTTTCGGCTTGGCCATCCTAATCTTTTGCAGCTAGTGAGGAGGAGACACGTTACGGACAGACACATGTTTAAATGGGTTAAAACCCAAGATACAGCAGGACACGAGGAGCCAAGGTCAGCTCTTCATCTTTAGGGCACCGGGGTAGCTGCTACAGATCAAAGAGCTGGAAACCCACTGACTTTACAGTGTCTACTTCAGGAGCCAGCAGCAAAGATGCAACAAGTCCTGTGAGACCAACACAAACTCACAACAAAGCCACAAGGCTGGTCCCAGATGCTGCAAGCATAGTCAAAGAGCATTTATTAGCCAGATGCAGTATGTTCTTGGTACAGAAGAGCAGCTATCTTGATAAATTCACATGTGGCTCTCCCAAAGCTTGGCTACGCTTCCTGGCTTCCACAGAGCATCAGCACTCAGAGCTGGATCAGAGCTCTGCCCCGTAAATCCTCACTGGGGCCATTCTGCCAGCGTGCCTTGACTTGGAACAGTCTCACAACAAACACATCAAGTCCACTTTAAACACATTTACTCTAGTTAACCACTGAAGGATAATTGAGATTTGATAATGTTTGGGGAATACAACCCCCAGGGGGCAGCCAAAAACAGTAAACAAGCTGAAAGGAATGAGAAGTTTTCAACTTCTAGACTTGGGACAAAAGAGATCTGCTCCCAGCTTTTTCCCTCCTTATGGGACATACAATTTTAGTCACATTGCATGCCCATACAGCCTTGAAATCACCTGTCTTCTATCAGTTTCATATTCATCCTATCGGAGTGGAATTTAACAGACAGCTCAGCCTATTGAGTGCTTTTTTTGCTACACAAGATAAAAATCACCATTTTAGGCTAAATGCCTGTAGTTTTGAGGTATACACTTACTGTTTATAATGTCACCCTGCAGCTGAAGGATTTGTGGAACAGGCATTGTGAGAATGACTACATCAAACAGTTCCGGTGATCCCATTTTGCTGGAGACTTCCCACTTCCCATCTCGGAGAGAGATATGAGTTACATGGCGTTCATAGAAGACATCTGCACCTGGTTTGAAAAATTAAATACATATAACTGAATGCCATGTAGAACATGCACAGTAGTTTCTCTTAGTAACTGGATGGCTTACTAACTGCCAAGCACACAAACCATCTGTGTGCAAAATCTCACAAATCAGGATGAGTTGGCTTAACAGTCAGGATATTACATTAAAAAGCAATGAAAGAGAGGTTGTGGAGTCTCCTTCTCTGGCAATATTCAAAACCCATCTAGACACCGTCCTGTGTGACTTACTCCAGGGAACCTGCTTTAGCAGAGGGTCCCTTCCAATCCTTATGGTTCCATGATCCTTGTGAGAATGGAATGTTGTTTCTGCATTTGATATTAAAAAGAGCAACTGGTTTGAAGAAGTAGAACATAATGCATTTGTATTCTGTAACTTATCCTTAGAAATAGTTGATCTAAGAAGTAAAATACTATATATGTTAGAGGCATGTTTTAGAAATATTATTACTGAATTACATGATTAATTCTTTCTTGCAAAACTGGAATAGTTGTTAAATGTTCAAAATAGTTGTTAAATGTTCAAAACAATGGGAGCATAGTGTGTTAGGGATTAGAAAACATATTGTAGAGTTGTTCTGTTAGGATAAGAAACTCCCAGCAAAAGAAAGACAGATTTAGCAAACATCAAAGAAGTTAGGGCCTCTACACAAGGCCGAACTGTCTCACTCTGTGAGAAGGTTGGGGTGACAGACAGGCACCAGGATACTCCCCTGTCTTTCTCTCGAGCTTATCTTGGTAGGAAGAAGGACAAGCAGATATCCGCAAAATAATGATCAGGTGTGGAATAAGTTAATTAACTACAGATTCACACTTATGCAGCAAAAACTTGTTTGTCCAGTGTTTCCCTGTTCAGTGAAGTGTCGAGAAGACTGTGAACCTAAAGCACTCAGCCAATGAGGAACTCGGGGAGAAAGAGATAAGTGTTGGGAAATAGGGAATAAAGATGTAACTCTGTCTTCTGTGTGCTCTCCTGCCTGCAGGAGGCCTGCCGTTGCAATTGCAAATAAAACCTGCTTTATCAGAGATACCATCCTAGAAAATTATTTGGGTATTTCCTACAATCTTCATCACCTGGAAAGTTCCTATCAGCCCTGCTCTAGGGCTGGCACTCCTCTGACTCCTTACTGATGTGATTCATCTCCATAAGTGGATGGGAAACTGCCAGGTTGATTTCAGAGGGCCGAACCTGCTCAGAGTGGAATCAAGCGGGCACGGGACATGGGGCAAGGAGTCCCGCAGACCAGATTGGTAGGCATTCTTCACACACCTGAAGTCAGCAAAGCGCCCGCAGGACGTGGAAACGTCCAGTGCTCACTGTTCTGTTTACGCTTTTCAGCAACTCCAAGATGCATAAAAACAAACAAGGAGCTACCTTTCCCATTTAAATCACCACTCAGACCATTCAGGAACGCAGCAATTAGAAGGCTTAATGTCACACAAAGGCGTTTAAGCATTACCGGACTGCCGCAAATAGTACTTGACAACGGAGGAGATGCCCTGAGGCGCCACGTAGTCACAGCTGCCCTCTTTCTCCACCAATCCCTCAATGCGCGCAGACAGCGGCTCCAGGATGCCGTGAGACAGGAGCTCCTCGTAGAAACTTGACAGGAGAAAAGCAGAGGGATGCAGACGCGGCGCGCGAAGCCCGCTGCCAGCTCACTCCATCAGCCTGGCCCCGGGCAGGCCGGCACGGCCTCAGGAGCGCAGCCGCCGCCCGCGCGCTCGCCCCCGCACCCCCCGCTCACCTGCCGCGCGACTCCGCGCGCCGGCTGACGTACTGCGCGCCCAGGTCGGCAGTGCAGGCGGCGTCCCGCGCGCTGCGGCTCGTGCTCATGCGGCCCCCTGCGGCGGACAGGCGGACAATCGCTCAGCGCCCGCTCTCCCCGCCTCCCGCCGCTCCCCGCCCGGCCGTCCCGCGCGAGCCCACCTGCGCCGCGCGCCTTGTCCCACACGCACAGCCGTTCCCGCGTCGCCCCCCGCAGCAGCGCCGCGCAGGCGCCGCCCGTCAGCCCCGCACCCACCACCAGCACCCGCGCCATGGTCGCGGGGCGGGGCCGCGCCCAACCACGCCCCGTGCGCGATGAGGAGGGCGGCGGGCCGCGGCGTGCTCGCCCGGAGTGCTGTCCTACGCAAATCAGAGTATGGTTGTTGTATGGAGTTATTTTAATAGTCCTTCCTGGTCAGTCCCTTGTTTTGGTCTGCTGTAACGTATTACTGCTATTCTCACAGAATCACCAAGGTTGGAAAAGACCTTCTTGATCAGCCAGTCCAACCATCCACCCTGCACCGATAGTTCTCACTAAGCCACGTCCCTCAACACAGAACCAACCCTTCCTTCAACACCTCCAGGGTCGGTGACTCCACCACCTCCCCGGGCAGCCCATTCCAGTGCCTGACCACTCTTTCAGAAAAGCAGTATTTCCTAACGCCCCCATTTTGTTGGGTATTTTTTAACCCCGTCATAAGATGCTGGGTGTACAACGAGTGGCCTCAAAGTACTGCATCTGCTGGGAGAAACTTTTGGAGCTGAGGACCCTGCATCCCATGCAGGCTCATTCCAGGGGTCCTATCTCAGACTAGCTCAAATCTCATTCTGCAGACCACATGCCACATTGGAGTTCAGACTGTATGAGAAAGTCGCCAGTGAAACATCTGGAGGGGTCAAAATGTAGTGACAGTCAAATTATCAAAAGGTAACAGTTCATCCTGCAGTGCCTGGTAAAGTACAGACATACAGACAGCAGCCTTAACATTTGGGTAATCATACAATCACTGAACCTTAAAGCCCATCCAATTCCAACCCCCGTGCTGTGGGCAGGGTTGCCACCCACTGAATCAAGTTGCCCAAGGCCCCATCCTACCTGGCCTTGAGCACCTCCAGAGATGGAGCATCCACGGCTTCTCTGGACAGCCTGTGCCAGTGCTTCACCACCCTCTGAGTAAACAATTTCCTCCTAACACATATTCTAAACCTGCCCTCTTTTAGTTTTAAATCCTTCCCTCTTGTCCTATCACTATCGGACTGTGTAGAAAGTCAGTCTCCCTCCTTTCAAGTTTGGGACGGCTGCTTTCTCCCTGCAGCCTTTCTGTTCTCTGGGCTCAACAAGCTCATCTCCCTCAACTTTTCCACGTAGGACAGGTGCTCCAGTCCCCACATCATCTTCACGGCCCTCCTCTGGACCCCTCCAACAGCTCTGCGTCTTTCTTGTGCAGAGGGCCACAGGCCTGGGTGCAGTACTCCAGATGGAGCCTCACGAGGGCAGAGCAGAGAGGGACAATCAGCTGCCTCGCCCTGCTGGCCACAGCCCAGCCCTGTTGATGGAGCCTAGGATATAGCTGGCCTTCCAGGCTGCAAGCCCCACCAGGATCCCCAAGTCTTTTTCCACAGGGCTGCTCTGCTGTTTTTAATGAGCTGTTTTTAATAATCTCTTCTCCCTGCTGGGGATTGCCCCGACCCAAGTGCAGCACTTTGCACTTGGCCTTGTTGAATCTCATTAGGTTCACGTGGGGCCACTTCTCAAACTTGTCCAGGCAATACTAGGATTTAGTGGATTATGAACCAAATATTGTCATTCAAACATGCTACAAACAGTAGGGGAGAAACACCTGTGGTTGATGCACTATTCCTGTGCAGGAACCGCAGTCTTTCAGAAAATCCATTTTTCTTCTGTCTCTATAGTGTCCTGCACTCCACTTGAAAATTGTAAAAATTTTATTTCCAAATCTCAAAACAAACAAAGAAACAAACAAACACCCCCCAAAAAAACAAAAAAACCATTGACAAACAATACAGGACCTTTCTATTCTTCTTATTCCATGATTCCTCTGACCATTTCACTAAAACCTTTCCTTCTTCAATTTGCTGCAGGAGTTTAAAGTGGCACACTGTGAGCTTGTGATGGGGAAGCTTTCATTACAGTTTTCACTATAGACAGGTAAGCTGCTTCAGGTGGTTAAAGTTGTGATCCTCCTTTACATTCTTGCTTGCTTGCATTACTCATGTATGATTCCACTGAATTTACTATCCTCTCTTAACAAAACAAATTGGGAATGCAAACAGCAAGTCAGCAGGACTACCTCTTGAAACAGTATTTTCTATTCTGAACTTCATTTTATGTATATCTTCTAAACAGAATAAAGTATTGGATACTTTTCACTTAAGCTGCTGAATGGTTTGTTTTTTTCTGCTGGACACCATCAGATCACATATAAAAGCAACAGTAATGACTGTGTGACCAGTTACTGTCCAAAACTTGTAAAACTGAGGTCTGTATCTCGTTAGTGAATTCTATCTGACCAAGACAGAAATCAGTCTTAAGCCTTTCTGGGACCTTGATCTAACATTGCAAAACCTACATCAAGTGGGAGCTTGGGCAACTCTTGTTTCATGGCAAGAAGAATATCAGAAGTAGAGCACGATTAAGAAAAAAAATCTTGATTCCTTAAGCAAGAAAATTCAAATTGTTTAGAAAGGAGCATGCTTTTTAATTGGAAGAGTTACATGCAGTTGGGGAGGTGCAGTGCTGAAAAATCACCAATGGCAAGATTTTGTGATGTTGAGCTAAAGGAACCCTCCAGATATGTCTTATCCTCCAGAGCTTGCTTCCTAGTGCTTTACTGCTGTTATGAAAATGATGGAAATGCATGCAGTTATATGAAGCATTATCACAAACCACAGCAAAACTGGTGTTGGATCTTCAGGCCAAACATCCTGCTTTTGAATCAGGTTGATCCACTCTGGCCTAGTGCCAGGGCAGCTAAACATTTGTCTACCTATCAAAGTAGATCAGATTGGCTGTAGGGTCAGAACCAGGATTTCTAACAGAGTAGAGCTGACTTATTCCTGTTTGGATGGCAAAATTGTTGCATATAAGGTTGCACCACATCTTTTAATGACCTTTCTAGAGAAAATAATGTTTTTTCTTTCTAGAAAAAAACATTTGCAGATTCTTTTTTTTTATTCCCAATGAACAATAATTGCACTTGAGCAGTGCTCATTTTATTACAATGTACTTTCCATCTTTTGTGAAACTATCTTCTTCTGTTCATTCGGGTGGATATGCTGTTATACAATGTAAGAAGTGTGCAAGTGCTGACATAATTACAACCCCATCATGATTTAGCTTACTCGTGGCTTCAGCAGGGACACAGAATTAACTATGGCTATATTAGGACCAGTAGAGGACCTTTAAACCTTCCAAAATGGATCAAAGAGATCTAGCAGGTCTGTGGACAGAAACCAGAGCAACACTACATCTCCTGAGATGCAGTATGGTTCTAGTGTCTTTAAAATTCAATAAAAATGGTAATTAATCACATTCTGGATGTGTTTATCTCTTTTCCACATCTGAGAAGCCAAAGAGGAATAATTGAGAAAAATAAATCCCAAAAAGCAATTACAAGAAGGACAGTCCAGCAGTCCTGTAATTCTGGTATGCGATGTACAAAATCCAAAGGAAGAAAAGGCTTAAGGAATGTACGCATTGCCTACGTCTTTGGGTTTATCTGAGATATTTTGGTGATAAGACTGAATCATTTATTTTGAGTTGCGTATTTTCTGACTAAAGAGCTTTCTTCAAATTCAATGTTTACACATGACAGAACAAGGAGTGCCACAGAAATCATCTATTTGTAATATTACATAATCTGTGCAATAGATCGTGCAGGCAGATAGCTGCTGGCAGAGGGTTCTGCCTACATTTGAGTGAATATTATTGTCAATATGAGTAATTCACAAAGAAATAAGATCAAGTCTGGTTGTCATTAAGAAAGATGTCTTCTACATTAACGTATATTGACAGTTTGAGGACAAATTGCGTTAAAATCTGCCTCAGTCAACTTGTTAGGTTTGGAGCATTTGCAGCATTTCTTTGCAAGCATCAGTAAAAAGTTTCTTCATTTCGGACTTCCTGCATAGATGGAGAAACACAGCCTGAATTGTTAGGAATAATAATCTCCCATCCTCCCGATCCATTTGTGATACTATTTAATATTCCATGATGGATTTTGCAAGTCTTTGCACACTTGCTCTGTGAAGTCTTATAAACTTTCAGCAGCCACAGCATCCTTTGGAGAGAAGTTTCATGGAGCAGTTCTTGGGAAAAAAAAAAAAAAACGCAAGAACGTGCCCTGGATTTGTTCCTTGACATAATGATGCTCTGTATTTTGTCATCTGTTGCATTCTTTATAAGTCCTGTCGTAAGCCTTTCTTCTGTGAAGAACAGAGTGAGCAAGCAGAAATGAAAATTTAATGGAAGTTATTTATGAAGAGAAGTTTGTATTCATTGTGGTTTCCTTTTTTGTTGCAAGGCCACATTGCTTGTCGTAAATAATCTATGATTTTTTTCCTCTAAATATGTTGCTTCTGCTTCTGCTGCAGAAACTTTCTATAGAATTGCCATTTGATGTAATACACTTTACCTAATGATGTTTTTAAATTTCTTCAAGCCAGTCTGTCTCCAGAGTATTTCAGTAAATACTTTTGCCTCTTCTAAAAAAAAAAAAAAAAAAAAAAAAGGATTTGTAAATTTTATCAGCTGATCAGATTATCAGCTTATACAATTGTTTACTTTTCTATCTTTAAAAGATTCCTTAAGCATCTTTCAGTAGCACAAATTCTGGCTCAAATTAATCCTGTTTAAACAAATTTATTTATTTTTTTAATCCTCTTTCCTGCTTTCCAGAAACAACTTGTCCTTGGCAGCTTTCTGGACACACGGGGTAGGAGCAATTAATACCCGCAGAACAGGGCCACCATTAAAATGAACCCTAATAGGTCCTCGATGGCCAGCAGGAGCCTCCAGAAGGTCAACGAAAGTAAAAGCTAAATTCTTCCCCAGCACACAGCTGAGCCTGACAGGGCAGCAGCTCTGCAGGCAGTGCCTCCAGCCTGAGCCCAATGAGTCTTGCCTGCTAGAATATACCTTGGAACAGAAGCAAAAAAGGAAATCATAGAAATGCTTGAAAATTACACAAAGCTTGTCCCAGTTTTGGAAATAGGACATCTGTAATATGCTTATATTTCTTCAAGGATATGCATTGGTGGAACATTTTG